GCGCCTCAAGCCCCAGCTGCCAGCCAGCATGCTTCGCATGCCTGCTAGCACGCTGGTGCCTACGAGCATCTGGCCTGCTATGCAGGCGCATCACGATGCTCGTGGTGCACTGGCTGATGCTTGCTGCCCTGCTGCCCAGCAGCTTGCTTTGCAAGCCAGCCCAGCCACCCCACGCACCCCTGCCATGCATCCCAGCCACACATACACAGCGCATAGCTGCAGCATCAAGCCTCACCCTTGTGCGCACCACAGGTAGCCACATGTGGGCTGCTAGGCAGCCCGGCTGGCCTTGGTGGCACTTGGGTGTGTTGCCTTGATTTGCGTGCCATGACTCGGGATTTTAATCCCGATTTGCGTGTGACATGAATTAATTCCAAATTATATTTTAGAATTAATTTTAGGGAAAATAAAATAAAACACCCATTAAGTCTAACTGAAACAAATTTTATTTTAATTGGTGCACTAGCCTAAAATTATCCAACATTTTAATTTTGAACAAAATTAGGTCAAACATTATGCTTAAAACAAAATGAGCTATGTCCAAAATTAATCTTGCCAATATGCAAATTAATAATGGATTTGACAAAAGGGGATTGGAAAAATAAATTAATCATCCAATGATAAAAATTTTTCCAACTTGCATACTTGTGTAAAATACCAAGATTACATCTTCCAATATGAAGATTAATCAAATTTTACTCACAAGTAATTGAACATAATGGATTTTAATCAACCAAAAAATGAAAAAATCCAAACTTTGTTCAACATGGAATTTAGGGTTAGGGTTCCAATCATTTAAACATTTAAAGATTAGAACTTTAACATTACTTTGGAACTCAAAATATAGAATCACAACAAGTTTTCACACTTTATTGCAATTTATTTGCAAAATTGTGAAAAACAAGTTTATGTGATAACTTGGTATATCAACTCAAGCACTAATAAACATTCCATTATTATGCTCAATGATATTTTAAAACCAGTAGATTAGTGATGCAAAAGTGCATTTAATCTAACCTTGAAATGCTTGCATTAATCAAGGCTTAAAAAGAATTAAAATTTTCGTTGAAAAACAAAAAACCCCAGAAAATCTGGGTTTCTGGTTCGAATTTGGCTTCTAGACACCCCTAAAAGGTCTGAAACAGTTCCAAAATGTCGATTCCACCCAAAAATCACCATTTTTGAGCCAAAATCTGGGTTCGACAGCCAAATCGAAAATAAAATCGAGTTTTAAAAGTAAATTAAAACGAGCATCTAATCTAATTAGATGAACATGAACCAGAAAATTAAATTCTTTAAAACACCTTAATTAAACAATAATTGCAAAAATTAAAAGGAGCGTGGCTCCGATACCGCTGTAGGGTTTCGTAGTGACCCGGCACTACGCGGAAGGAAACCCACCAAGACCCGCCCCTTAATTAAAGCAATTAACAAGCATATTAAACTTAATCAAACAAGATTAAGAACAAGAATTATACCTTTGACGCGTGCTTCGCTCCCAAAGAGCTCTTACTTCAAAATCCCGAAAAGACGAGATCTCCGACGGATCGTACCCTCGACCCGACCCGAGCGTCCTAAGCCTCGAAGGTTAGTCGAGGCCCGGATAAAACAAACTTGGAGTTTTACGAATTTCAAGGCTTACTCAATAATGGAGTTACCTTTACTTTTCCACTCAAGGTTGTATAAAATCCCAATACCAAGCTTGGTATTTATAGGGAAATGATCCCTTGATCTTCATTCCCCAACCAATGTGGGAGAATGAATTTTGCTAATTAATTTATTTCTAAAATAAATCAATAATTCAATTCAATCACAAATCGACACATGGCACAATAATGGAGAGAGCCAAGTGAGGACCATGAAGGGGTGGGGGGGACCATGTACTTGCTCCCCAAGGCTTTGCTCAAGCCTTGTCCCCACTCCCTAAAACCGCCTCAACCATGGTGCTGGACTGGCAGCCAGCTGGCATTGCCAGCATGTCCAGCCAGCTAGCACCATCCCACCAGCAGCCTTCGCATCCCAGCCAGGCAGTGCTGCTTGGTGCTGGGCGCTGGTGCGTGCCAGTGCTATGCGCTGGTGCGTGCTGGCGCTGGTGCTATCTCTCGCACCACTGCTAGCATGGCCCAGCATGCGTGCTGCTAGCGAGCCACGCATGCTGGCCTCTTGCCTTGCCAGTCATTCGCATCAGCCTCGCACACCATGTGCATACCCCATCGCACACACGCATCATGCACCACGCACTGCTCGCACTAGCCAGTGCCTAGCACTGCTATGCTTGGTGCGAGGCATGCACATGCATGCGTGGTGCTGCCTAGCAAGATGCTTGCGCGCACCCTCTCGCGTGTGCTGCGATGCTTGGTGCTGCCATGCGAAGGCTAGCACCCAAGCACACGCACATGGCGCGCCATTGCCAGGCAGCCAACCATGCTAGCACTTGGTGCTTGCGATGGTGCTGCCAGGCCAGGCACGCACGCACGCAGCACCTAGTGCTTGCTATGGTGCGCCTGGTGCCTGCGATGGTGCTGCCATGCCAGGCACGCAAGCATGCAGCACCAGGGCCTGCGATGGTGCGCCTGGTGCGCCCATTGCCTGCGAGAGGCGCCACATGCACCCAGGCACCACGCTAGCAAGCTTGCTAGCTGCTATGGGCTGCCTGGTGTCGGTGTGGCCTGCGATGGCTGCCATGCACCCCTAGGCACCCATGCTAGCTTGCGATGGGCTGCTAGGGTGCGCCTAGGCTGCGATGGTGCCTACCACACCATGGTGCGCCTAGCACACACATGGTGCACCTAGACTTGCTATGAGCTAGCCTAGCCTAGCTACGGCTACGCTCATACTTGTCGATTGTGATTTTGCGACGTTCGGTCTCGACGCCCTAGGCTCGATTTCCGACGTCTGTATTCGTAAAACTCTGTCGATTTATTAAATCCTTTCGGATTAATTCGACGTCTCGGATCGGAGATTCGATTGGGTTCGACCCGAAGGGTTCAGTTAAGATTAAGCTGTAATATCAATTGTACCTCGATATTACTGATCGGAAGCGGCCTCCACCTAGACATTCCGATCACTTGACCTTACTGAAGAATTAGCTCTGTAATAATTCTGAACCCTCTATCGGAATAATACACTTGTTTGAAGGACACCATTCCTTTCAATTCTTTCAATTGTAGAACAATGTCTGCAAGTAACTTAAACAACAACCAATTCTCTTACGCTCAATTCTCGACAAGGAGAAGTTAAGCAGGCCAAACTTCCTTGAATTGTACTAATGCAAGAGCAAAAGGAATACGTCCTTGATGAGGAAATGCCGGACGCTCCCAATGAGGAGGTCACTCAGGCTGCCCTTAACCGATGGCAAAGTGCCAATCGGGATGTCAAATGCATCATGTTGGCCACTATGTCTCCGGACCTTCAAAAGACTTTCTTTGAAAAGGAGACGGCTTTTGAGATCATTTCTGAGCTTCAGAATATGTTTCAAGAGCAAGCTTGAACTGAAAGGTTCGAAACCCACAAGCAGATCCTTGAGAGCAAGCTCAAGAAAGGAGAGCCAGTCAGCCCGCATGTCCTCAAAATGATTGGATTATTTGAGAACATGGAAAGGCTTGATGCTGGGTATTCAACCGAGATGACAATTGACATCATTCTCCACTCGCTTCACAAAGGCTACGATCAGTTCAAAATGAACTATAATATGCATAGTATGGAGAAAACCCTCACCGAGCTTCATGGTATGTTGAAGCAAGCCTAGCAAACCTTCAAGGATGAGGGGAAGCATGACATGCTCATGGTGAGGAAGGGCAAGCCATTCAAACGTCCGGGCAAAAAGAAGAGCTTTAAAGGGAAAAAGAAGAAGTTCCCGCCTAAGTCAAAATCTGCCAAGGGCAGCAAGGATAAAAAGACAGCCTCTTCTAAATCTGATTCCGAATGTTTCTACTGCAAGAAGAAGGGACATTGGAAACAGGACTGCCTCAAATTCAAGGAAGATAAGAAGAACGACAACATTGCTTCTTCATCAGGTATTTTTGTTATAGATTTAAAACTTTGCTAGCAAAACATCGTGGGTATTAGATACCGGATGTGGCTCACACCTTTGTTCCAATGCTCAGGGACTAAGGATAAATAGGAGGCTAGAGAAGGGAGAGGTCGAGCTTCGGGTCGGCAATGGAGCAAGGATGTCTGCCGTCTCCGTTGGAACTCTCAGTTTGTCTTTGCCCTCAGGGCTTATTCTAGAACTTGAAAACTGCTATCATGTTCCAAGAGTGACCAAAAACATTATTTCAATATCGGCGTTGGACGCCAAAGGATTCGAATTTCGAATCAAAAACAATAGTTGTTTTATTTATTTTGTTAATGTTTTATATGGTAAGGCACATTCAGAAAATGGTCTTTATGTGCTTTCACTAGACAAACAGGTTTATAACATCGATAATACTGCCAAAAGGGCTAAGACCATCGAGTCGAATCAAACCTACTTGTGGCATTGTCGTCTTGGCCATATTAACATCAAACGCATCAAGAAACTTCTTCAAGAAGGTGTTCTTGACTCATTCGACTTAGAGTCGTTTGAAAATTGCGAAGGATGTCTATTAGGCAAGATGATAAAACAGCCATTCTCCAAGTTGGGAGAAAGGGCAAGTGACTTATTAGGTCTAATACACACGGATGTATGTGGACCAATGAGTACACCCGCATGACAAGGTTACCGATATTTCATCACCTTCACCGACGATTTTAGTAGATATGGCTATGTCTACTTAATGTCGAATAAATCTGAATCCTTTGAGAAATTCAAAGAATTTCATAAAGAAGTTGAAAATCAACTTGGCAAGAAAATTAAAGCACTTCGATCGGATCAAGGTGACGAATATTTGAGCCATGAATTCGACGATCACTTGAAAGAAAATGGTATTCTTTTAGAGTTGACACCTCCCAGAACACCTCAATGGAACGGAGTGTCCGAACGGAGGAATCGAACCTTGTTAGACATAGTTCGATCAATGATGGGTCTTAGTGAACTCCCTATCTCCTTCTGGGGTCCTCTAATGTATACTTTGTTCTGGAGGGCATGCAATGCAACAAATAAGTTCACCTTCAGAAAAGCAATGGAAAAGTTGCAAAAGGAAGGAGGAGATGATGTTATGACTTGGTTTGCTGATTTAGGTGATCAGTCAAAATGGAGCAAACATAAGTTTGATCCAAATGTGTGTAATGACTCAAACACCTCTAACTTTGTTGAGATTTTTAACTCCACACTAAGTGTTGACAGGTGCAGACCTGTCTTAACCCTGCTTGAAGGTAATACTTCTACATTTGGCTCATTATTACTTCTCATAAATTATCAACTGATTTTGTGAACTAATACTTGTAATTGGCATAATTGAAAGGTATTAGAAGAGTTTGTATGGTCAGGATTGCTTCAAGGAGTGAGAGAGCACAAAGTTGGGAGAATAATGATTTATGCCCTAAAATTGCAAAGCTGGTCAGGGAAATCAGCAAAGCAACCTCCACCTACAGAGCTTTTCAGTCAAGTTCGGGAGAGTATGAGATACCTGAGGGGAAGTCCCAATTTCCTCTAAGTCTAAACAGCAAAATTTGCTCATGTGGAGCTTGGCAACTCTCTGGTATCCCCTGCAGACATGCAGTGAAAGCAATGCTCCATGCTAAGGTTGATCCTCACGATTATGTGTTGGGTTTTGTAGTGACCCACACTACGCGGAACGAAACCCGCCAAGACCCGCCCCCATAATCAATGCAATTAATCAAGCAAAACATAATTAAACACAAGAAAGGATAAAAGATTATACCTTTGACGCGTGCTTCGCTCAACTATGAGCTCTTACTTGAACCCCGAAAATACGAGGTCTCCAACGGGATTGTACCCTCGAACCCGACCCGAGCGTCCTAAGTCTCGAAGGTTAGTCGAGACCCGGAAAAATAAAACTATGAGTTTTACGAATCAAGGTTTACTCAAATCAAGAGTTACCTTTTAATTCCACTCAAGGTTGTATCTTCCCAATACCCATGCCTTTGGTAATTATGGTATTTATAGGGAAGAGCACCCTTGATTTCCAATCTCCCATCAATGTGAGAGAGTTGGTAAAATTAATAATTTATTTAATTTCAAATTAAATAAATAATCAACTTAATCACATTGCGACAAGTGGCATATACATATGCAAAAGAGTGATGGCCAAGGTTAGGTGGGGGGACCATTTGCCTTGCTCCCTAAGGCCCTTTATTGGTCCCCACAAGCAAGCACAAAACCGGCTCAAGGAGGGCTGGCTGGCTGCCAGCTAGCACCAGCAAGCAGCCTTGCATCCCCTAGCCAGGCAGTGCGTGCTGGTGCTGGGCGATGCTTGGCGCTGGTGTGTGCTAGTGCTAGGCTGTGCTAGCATGCTGGAGCTGGCCCAGCACTCCCACGCATCCCTCGCACACACATGTGCTACGCACTGCCATGCCAGCCAAGGCCACGAACTTGCTAGCAGCGCACACCCAGCACGCACCAGCCCCACACATCATCGCTGCTGCTGCTTGCTAGCCAGCACGCACTGGCACTCGTACATGCACATGCATAGGGCATTGCTTGGCATGCTGCTGTGCGTGGCTGCTGCTGTGAGGATGCGAGGCACACACGCACACACACGCAAGCCCTTGGCATTGCGATGGTGCTGTGCGTGGCGCCAGGCCTGCGATGGTGCCTGGGCTGCGTGCTGCGATGGTTCGATAGGCCTAGGCACAAGCACACGCATGCACGCAAGCCCTTGGCATTGCGATGGTGCTGTGCGTGGTGCTAGGCCTGCGATGGTGCCTGGGCACTCGCACACACCTAGCGTGCTGTGATGCGAGGCAAGCACCCATGCTAGTACTTGGTGCTAGCGATGGTGCTGCCACGCTAGGCACGCACGCACGCCATCACCTAGTGCTAGCGATGGTGCGCCTAGTGCATGATGCTAGGGCTGCGATGGCGCCTAGGCATCATTCCTTGCCTAGCACACCATGGCGCGCCTAGCACACACATGGTGCACCTAGGCTTGCGATGAGCTAGCCTAGCCTAGCTACGGCTACGCTCATACTTGTCGCTTGTGATTTTGTGACGCTCGGTCTCGACACCCTAGGCTCGATATCCGACATTTGTATTCATAAAACTCCGTCGACTAATTAAATCCTTCGGATTAATTCGTCGTCTCGGATCGGTTGTTCGATTGGGTTCTACCCGAAGGGTTCAGTTAAGATTAAGCTGTAATATTAATTGTATCTTAATATTACTGATCGGAAGCGGCCTCCACCTAGGCATTCCGATCACTTGACCTTACTGAAGAATTAGCTTTGTAATAATTCTGAACCCTCTATCGGAATAATACACTTGTTGGAAGGACACCATTCCTTTCATTATGTAAGCTCTTGGTACACTGCAAGAACTTATAAGCAAGTGTATAGCTATGCTATACACCCTGTTCCTTATTCAAGTCAGTGGCCACCTGTTGATGCTGACCACCACCCTTACATTTATCCACCAAAGATGAAGAGAGGTGTTGGTAGGCCAAGTAGAAACAGGAAGAGAGAAGAGGGTGAAGACCAACCAGGGAAGAGGTCTAGAACAGTTAAATGCAGCAAATGTGGGAACTTGGGGCACAATGCTAGAACTTGCAAAGGGGGTTTGATTGGAAAGGAACTTCAGTCAGTTAAGGGCATGGTTGTTAAAAACCCAAGAGTGAGGGATCAATCAAATGCTGCAAGGCAAACTAGAGCTCAGTCCAAAGCTGCAGCATCTGCAACAGAGCTCTCATTATCACAATTGGCAAGCCAACCACAAGACTTGTCACAATCTCAACCTTGACATCTGATATCATAGCTGCATGAGTAGTGCTGTAGGTTTTGATTTACTCTTGACAAACTTATGTAGGTTTTGAACAAGTTGTATAAGTTTTAAGTACTGTTGAACTTGTTTTATTTCTTAGTTGAACTTAGTACTAAATTGGCAGCAGTACTTGCTATGTCTTTTTGTATGATAATGCATTATTACTTAATTGCTAGTATGAAATAAGTATCAGTACTTAGTACTATTTTTTTGATGCTCTTTAAAAAAGTACAAATTAGTGAAGAAGTTACAAGAGTATACCAAAATACACCATCACTTTAATTTATTTCAAAATAAAACACCAACTACAACTTAGTTCATCTATTTCAAACCTATTAATTAAAGGCAACTATTTCAATACAACAACCAGCAACACCAAATACATCACCACAGCCAATTTCACAACCAAATACACAAAATCAGCAAATTCATCCGTCTTCTGCATAAATTCTGCAAATTCTGCTCTTAATGCTTGTACATAAGATTCTTCAGCCATGGAACCTTGCCTCCCTCCTATGTCCCTTACAATTTGATCTTCAGTCACCCACATGAAGAATTCACATAACCTGCATTTATAATAAGCCCTTCCAGGATTGGTTGTAGAGTTAGAAAACCTAATGTCTGCTGTTCTTGAAGGTTGGCAGTTGCAATTCATGACTTTAAACCAATCACCTCTTCCATATCTACTGGTTGAAGATGAAGCCATGCCAGATGAACCCCTGGTAGACGAAGCCATTGATTTTCCACAGATAAATAACTGGAATCAAAAGAAAAGAAGAGCGTTGATGGAAGGGGAAGAGCAAACAAGAAGGGAATGTGTTATAAGTAGGGAAATTACACAAAAAAGGAGGGAAAATTGGAAGGGAAATTTGGAGGGAAATGAAATAAGAGGGGCAATGTTGTATTTTTAGCCACCTAACCTTTAAAACGCTGAAAACAAAGTATATTTAACGTTTAATTAACGGCAAGCTTACTTTAGTAATTTAGGGAAAAGTTTAGGGGTACCGGTGATAATGAAAGTTTAATGATGTGTACCATTGATAAAAGCCAATACCTGGAGGATATTATTGATAATTTCCCTAAAAAAAAATAGACTAGACTTCAAGCATATTCTCTTGAAATGAACCAAGTAATATAACCTTAATTAGTATTTATGTGGCACCTTTAATTTACTAGCACTAGAATAGTCAATGATGCAAAAGTATGAAATTCAGCGTAGGTCCAAAAATACCACAACTTTAAGGTGTTGTTTGGTTCACTTGGGAATAAAGGTCAGCAACAGGCCGGGCCGTGCTGTATAATCCCTTATGAAAAATTAATCCCCTATGATTACTATAGTTATAATTATAGTTATAATTTATTATACTTTTTATTTATTATTATAATTATTTAGTTATTAACTTATTGGAAAAATTGCTTTAAATAATACAACCTTTCACCCGTCCACTAAAAACAAGTCGACCTTTTGATTATCTCTAAATAATACAACTTTTGGAGGTTGTCCGCTTTAAACAAGTTGTAACCTATTGGTAACCTGATTAATAGGTTATATGGACACGTGTCATCATTTTATTGGTCTGAAAATATATTTTTTTTTTAAAAAAAATTCATTTAATATTTTCAATTTTTAAAAGATTATTATTATTTTTTATTTTAAAAAAAAAAAAAAAAAATTCCCCCACCTTCTTTCATCCTCCTTACCCATTTCAATGGTAGCCACCCACTTAAACCACCTTCCCTTCCCTGATCTCAGACATGCTCAACACCTCCTTCCTTGTTTAGCCTCCCATTCAACAGTCCCTCCCCCCCTATAATCACCACGTATCCCCACCATCCCCCTTCATCCCTACCTTTCCCGCCACATGCAACCCAGCCCCCCTCCCTTTTATTCTGGCAACGCTCAACCCCGATCATCGCAGACCACACAACCTTCTTTTCTCCGACCCCCTCCCCTCGCCAAACCGACAGACCGCACAACACTCAACGAATCCACCGGTGTATGCTAGCACCCCCTCCCCGCCCTCCGACGCCGGCCGCGCCCAGATCTCCCTCCTCTGGCGCCGGCGTCGACCCCGCTTTCCCAATCATTTAACTTCCGATGATGATTAAACGGGTGCCATATTGTCATTTATAGGAGGAATCAGAAATTCATCCGCATTTTGATGGTTTAATTACTTCCTAGATAAATGGTTGTTGTAATTTTGATGGTTTTTGTTGCGGTTGTTAGCCTGCTAGGTGTGGTGGTTGGAGGTCGGTGTAGGGGTGCGAGTTGTGGTCGAGGCTTAGCAATTTTTGTATGGCTTTGTTGATTGTTGGTGGTGGGCTGGTGGCGTGATGCTATGCAAGGAAGGAGGGTGTGGTGATGGGTGGTTTCTAGGTGCGGTGGTCGATTTAGGCTGCTGGTTGTGTTTAAGGCTTGGTGGTTATTAGCTGTGCGGCTTTATTGATTGTTGAGGGTGAAAGTACAAGGCCGTGTGTTTTGCAATAGGAGGGTGGTGGTGATGGGTCGGCCAGCGGGGAAGGGGGTAGCTATTGGGGGTGGCACTAGGGTGATGGGGGCTGAGTCAGGTGAGGGATCGTGGAGGGAGGAAGGATATGGTGGGGGAATTTTTGTTTTTTTTTTTTTAAAAAGTTTATTTTAATTGTTAATCATAATTAAAGTTTTAATTAAGAGATAATTAGAGTGTGTTAAACGAATTTATAAAAATAAAATAAAATTGTTAACCGGACATTCAGGTTGTAGGTAAAATTACTTGTTTAAAGCGGATACAAATTAAAGGTGGTATTATTTAGGATAATCAAAAGGTCGACTTGCTTTTAGCGAACGGGTGAAAGGTGGTATTATTTAAAGCAATTTTTCCTAACTTATTTTGTTTATATTACTTTTTATTTTCTTAACGGCAAAGATGAAAATTTCAAATCTTAACGGCTAAAAAAAAAAGGGAAATTGGACTTTGATTCTTTGAATGTGATTAATGAATACTTCATATTATTATTACTTGAAATATTATAAATAAATACATACTTCTTAACGTTAGAAGATATAATGATAAAAAAAAAAAAATTACTCAAGTATAAATGTTTGATATTAATGTAATAAGTAATAACGATAAAAATTGTACAATGATAATGATTTCGTACAAGGATATTATACAAAAATTGTCTATAATTAAAAGTATGTAATCTATTTATAGTTCTTCATCTATTCTTCTTCATCTTCTTCTTCTTCGTCTTCGCATTCAAGGTCACCGGCTAGTTGATTGGGAACTAGCCGAACCCGAACGGTCGGAAGCGGAGGTTTCGTCATCGTTGTCGTTGTCGGCGTAAGTACGGTCTTGTGAGCGATTTTCAGCATCCAACCAATCTTTGAAGCACACGCACATTTCAAGTGTTTCGGGTTTTAGACTTGTTCTTCTACCGTCTAAAACCCTCCCGGATGCGCTGAAAGCTCGTTCGGAGGCAACGGAGGAGACTTGGATACCAAGAATGTCTCATGCCATTGCCGCCAAAGTTTGATGCTTCGAGCTTTGTTGTTTCCACCATACAAGAGGTCGAGGCTGTTTATCTCGTCGTCGTTCATGCCCTTGGTGAAGTCGTAACTCAGGTACATTTGCAACTCCGAGACATCGCTTTGCGTTCTCCTCTTTGATGAATCACCTAAAAACCATGAAATCAAGTTAGTAGCTTGTGAAAATAAATGCTTGGCCTTTTTACTTACGTTTTTGGATGGTTGGGAAGAGCCAGAGCGACGAACGGTGCCATATTTGGTTTCATAAACTCTATATAAAGCAAAAAATTTATCCTTCACATTACTCTTATAAGTTTTCTACACTATCTTCAATAAGCATGCATTGAAAAAAAATGTCAACTAACATAAATGTATTTTCATACTTTTGCCTAGGATCTAATATGGAAACAAAAATATAAATTAAAGGAATTTCAGTATAATATTTATGCCACTTTATTTCCATTGCTGCAATAGATTGATCATAATCACTTTGGTTGCGATGATCAGAGAAAAGCTGGGCGAGTAAACATGCATTTGAAAGAAAGTTATGAGCACAAGGATTATAAACAGAAGAAAAACAAAATGTCATGTTATATAATAATTGCAAAAAATTGCATATATCTTTCACATTTATTCAAATCATCCTCATATAAAGCACTTTGTGGAAATTTTTGGTTGTAATAATTGTTACAGGATTTTTATATTCAATTGCCTTGGTTAACATGTCATAGGTGGAATTCCACCTAGTTGGACAATCGGTTTTGATTTTTATTGCTCTTATCTTTTGTTGTCTTAGAAAACCTTTCCATTCTTGGTATCTCATGTTTGAGCTATTAATAGACATAATAGCTTCTCTAATTTTGTTATAGTATGGACCAATTGCTTTAATTCCATCTTGTACACATAAGTTAAGAACATGAAAAACACATCTAGTATGAAGTGCGTCACCATCTAATATTACATCGGTTAAATTTTGTTTCACTAAATTAGCAGTATATGTCATTGAGGTTGCATTGTCAAATGTCATAGACATGGTTTTTTCTCTAAGGTTGTATTCATTTATAGCTTCCATTAAATGGTGAGCATTGTTAATACCAATGGGGGGGTATTCTAGCATTTTGAAATGGATTATTCGTTTTTGTAACAACCATTGATCATCTACCCAATGGCAAGTCACACATAAATAGTCACACTATATGCTTGGGATAAGTTTTCTACACTATCCCAAGAATCGGCAGTCAAAGACACTCTACAATTAAGTTTACTCAATTCGTCTTGTAACCGCATTTTGTACTTTAGGAAGTTTTTCATGGCGGCGGAACGAACGATTTTCCTAGAGATTCTTTTATGTTGGGGTTGTAATGCTTTATTAATGTAAGTGTTAAATGGGTCAGTTTCTGAGAGAAGAAAAGGTTGTTCGGCGTGTACTATCATTTTCCCTAGTTCATCCCTATCCCTCTCATAGTTGTAG